TCCAGAGCCTTGTTCCTGCAAGCAGGTGGTGTTAGTTTCACAGGGTACAGTCTAATTTTGTTCATTCCTGTTTGCACACTCCTGCTCTGCAGCTCACGGGTTGGACTCAGGGTGTCTTACCAGGCTGTGCCGGTTCATGATGGTGGTGCTGTTCCTGCGGGTGCGCAAGACGTTGGCCTGGAACACCTGCGAGTTATCGCTGTGAAAAGAAACACTTGTCAAATGCAAAAGCCATTTCCTTCCTTTCAGAAAGTCCCTCTCAATACAAGCTCAGTTTCAGATGCTGTGACAGCCATCATGCCGAGGCAAAGCACTGCAGAGACAGGTATGTGAGAACTCCTCGAGCTTGTTGGCAGAGAGTGCAAGCCAAATTCTTCATCGGCTGCTTCAATTAATGACTTTAATTAATCATACTGACTCTTCAGAATAACTGAAAAGTTGTTCAGACTGCTCATTTCTGTGGGAATTTATGTCTGGAATGGCTGCAGCTTCCAAGATCACTCAACAGAACAAATGTAGCAATGGCTTATAACCAGTGATTGAAACCAATTTCAACCCCAGAGATAAACCAGGATTTTAAAATGCGGAATCTTCATAAATGTTTTCACTACAAACACTTCAGTTCTGAAGGTTTTTTTCCAGGAAAGATTAAACATACAGTAAAACCAGTTTTTAAAGCCCCAGAGCAGCACATCCATTTCAATAGTGCAGGATTAGTCATTTGATACAAATTGAGCTCCTTTCTCAAGGCGACTTCAGTTCTGTTAATTGCAAAAGCAAGTTTCACTGGTCATGTCATCACCAGCGTTATCAGCACCCACTGAGCAGCACTTAATGAATGTCACTGCAGAAACTAAACACATTTTATGGACACCAGAAAAAACAAATGTTGAGACCCAAACCTACAATCCCTGTGCCCAAAAATCAGGGAGGAACTGCACAGGTGAACAGACCCAAATGTAAGGCTGTAATTATATCCCAATTACAGGAATTCTCTGGGCTGTACCTTTTTGTTTCAGCTGCTAACTTGGAATCCACAAAAGCCCCACAAATACAATTTCTTAAAGCTAACCTGCCCCACAGTGTTACCTCGTTCTTAGGACTGATAACCACAATGCATCACTATCAGAATACACCAGTTAGGCACAGAAGTTTTAGACAGCTTTTGTCTAGCTGTAAATAGAAAACAAACAAAGCTTGCACTGTGAAATAAAAGCCAACAGCAATTGGCATAAGCTCTGTGTTTTTTGCCAAGAAAAAAGCACTGACTGTCCTCCCCTAAGGCGTCAGGTACATATGAGCAGATATCATGAACAATTTCCAGCAGGTTTCACTCAGCTCACACCCAGAGGAGATCAAACAGTTGCCATTTGACAGGAGTTAGAACCCTAGAAATTTAAGGGATCGGTGACACAATGTTTAGAGATGATTTACTGGCTGAGGCCAACAGCTACAGATTCTTTTCAGTGTAAGTGCACTGGTTGGCATCCAAGCACAGCACAAACAGCACATCCAGAAATCCAGGGTCTGAGTCAGGAAAGCAGGATGGAAAGAATCTGTACCACATCACCACAGGCTGAGTCCAATACTCAGTGCTAAATAGCACAGGGGGAGAGGAAAAAACCCTACAAGTACCCCAACCCTTAATAACTCTTGCAAAAACACCAGAGCTAATCAGATCTCAGCCTTACCCTTCGCAGAAAACTCTTACAGTTCCCATTAAAAATCAATGTTATTTGGCACAGAACCAAGAGTTAAAAGTTCTGCGAACGATAACATCTATGACTTAAAATATTCTGCTTTAAAATGTTCTCTGGCTTTACAGTAACTCATTCTTCAAGTTCCTTACTGAATCTGTTAATGAAGAAGTCAAAACAGGAGGCAGAGGAGAAAAGCAAGCTGTGCAAGAGCAAGAGCTTTTGTTTCAGTTTACCCAACAAAGCCATTCTGGGAAAAAAAATGAAGTTTCTTGCCAAGAGCTGCAATCTTGCAAAAACAGCATTCTGATGGAAAATTCCAAACCAAGAGGCAAACCACTGCAACCACCTCCAATTAGTGCAAAGGCACTTCAGGTTCATTTGTATGAACACCTCACACACAGTGTGTGCACAGTTGCAAGGCAAGAGCTCAGGCTTACCCTCCTACATGCCCAAACCCTGAACTAAATAGTATGTTTGGGGTTTTTTGTAAGATTCAAGGGTCTTACAGGTCATAAGAAACAACTTATAAAAGGCTAACATTATAAAAACATCTTGCCTCAGCTACACAATGTGCTTACCTCCCTGAAAACATGCACAGCACTCCTATACTGCATCAAAATGTAAAATGGGAGCTGTTTCATTAAGATCATATAAAACAATCACAATTATGTTTACTTAACATTAAATCATGATCAAATAGGCAAGAATTAGTATTTCCCCTGGACTGTCAGGCACTGTTAACCATTTTGGTACAAGACATTGGTAAGATTTTTTTGTCACTTGATATTTAGTTCCTTAAAGAAACATGAAGGGAAAAAACCAACCTCCAGGAAATATATATCATGTATTATACTGTGTTTGATAAGGTTTATTGTCAATATGCTCTCCTGGACCACCTCACAGCTGGATGGCAGTCACACCATGCAGCAGATTTTTTGGGGGGGCATCTTCCTCTTTCTGAACAGCTCAGAGGAGACAAGAAATAGCACTGAGTTAAAAACTCACCCAAACACAAGCTATATATGAAATCATATAGATCTGAGAGTTTTCCCCTAGCCCTGGCTTGGAACTGGCACTGTCTCTGCCCTGTCAGCTGAAGAGAATCAGACCTGGCAAACACCCAACCCTCCCTGCAAACAGCACCTGCCACAGGCTGATGGCAATATCCGAGCACAAATCTCTACACAAGTCCCTGTACTTCTCCCAATATTACAGGCTAAAAAAATCAGTATTACTCAGAACAATTCCTGCACACCTGACACACAGTTTTAGTTACGTAAAACTCATATCAAGGTCCCATGGAATGACCTTCCCCACCGAATGTGCCTGAGTGCTCTGAAACCATTTACTGTTGCAATCATACACAGGGCAGCGATTTACTCTGCTCACACTTGAACCGTGACAGAAATCACAGCGACTGCTACTTTATCTGTAAGAACAGCCACAACCTTGACACTGCAGACTGCATTTCTCAGCCACAAACACACAGCACACCTAGATGAAAATAAAGCATTTTAGTAAAGCCTAAACTTCCTCACACCCCTCCACACTTAGATATCTTGCCTAAACCCCTCCCTGCTTCGACAGCGCTCAGAAACCCACTTTTCCCAACAACCCCAAGAGCGTCCCATGGCTGTGAGCTGCGGGACCCGCGGGGAGGAGCAGCGACGTGAGCTGCGTGGCTGCA